TTATAAATATATATATATATATATTAAAAAAATATATAATATATATATATTATAATATATATATATATATTTATATATATAAATATATATATAAATTATATATTATATTTATATTTATATATATATTATATATAAAAATATATATTTATATATAAAAATATATTTTTATATATAATAATATATATAATTAAATATATTTATAAAAATATATTATATATATTTTTATTATATATTTTTTTTTTTATATATTTATATATAATCACACTGGCCGATTCCCACAAGGCGGGGGGCCCGAAAAAAAAAAAATTTCACCATCATTCACTCCATCCTGTCTTGAGAAGGGGCTTTACATACAGTTTTTAAACTGCAAATTAACACCCCCCCTTCAGAGTGCAGGCACTGTATTTCCCCATCTCCAGGCCCAAAGCCCGGCTGCCGGTTTCCCTAAACCCCCTTCATAAATGTTACTTTGCTCACACTCCCCAAAAGCCTCAAGTATTAAAAACCCTTTGTCTCCTTCACTCCCCACAAAAAACGCTCACGCATGCCCGTGGAAGTCCAAGCCCCCCGACCAAAAACCCCCTTTCCCCCTCTCTCCAACTTTCCTAGGCCCACCCCTACCCCCCCTTCCTTCATACAACTGATACACTCTTAAGTCATTCGTTTGCTCCATTCTCTCTACATGTCCGAAACAAACCCCAAAAAAACCCTTCCTCAGCCCTCTGGACAACAGTTTTGGTAATCCCGCACCCCCTCCAACTTTCCAAAAATACGAAATTCTCTGCATTTTTTCACCCACAAAATTTGCCCCAGACATGACATCTCCACTGCCTCCGCTTCTCCTCGCTGCAACATTCATCACCATGCTTCACACCATATAAGAGGGTTGGTAAAAACTATACTCTCATCATTCCCTCTTTGCTCATGGACAAAAAGTTCTTTCTTTGTCTCCACAGCTCCCTAGTGCACCATATCACTCTTTTCCCCTTTCAACTTCTTATGATTCCACCTCATCTTTACGTTATACCCATCCGCTGACACGTACACTCCCAAATATCTGAAATTTCATTTCCTCCTCCATACTCTCTCCCTCCAAATCTGATATCTCAATATTTCATCACCCTAATCTTGTATGTATCCTCACAACCTTACTCTTTCCTGTATTCACCTATTAATTTTCCTTCTTTTGCACACCATACCAAATTCATCCAACCCAATCTCTGCAACTTCTCTTCAGAATCTCCCAAGAGAAAACAGTTGCTCTTCAGCAAAGAGAAGCTCGTGACAACTCCCCATCTTTGTGTGAGATTTCTTTACTCTTTTAACTCCAACGCCTTTGCCATGACCCTCGCCATTTACTTCTTTACAACCCCATCTATAAATTTATTATACAACCAAAACGGTGACATCACACATCCTTGTCTAAGGTCATACTTTTACTGCGGAATTAATTTCCCTCTTTCCTACATACACTAACTTGAGCCCTACTATCCTCGTAATAACTCTCTTAAATGCTGTCAGTAACCTAACCTCCTTACAACACGACACTTGAATCATCTGCCTAACATTGCCCGCTATCACCCTGTCATACGCCTTTTTCCAATCTATAAAATGCCACAATGACTCTGTAGCCTTATCATATCTAAAATACTGTTTTCACCTTATACTGTTTCACTGTAAACACCTGGTTCCTCACCACCCTCTCACCTTTCATAAAGCCTCCTTGTTCATCTGCTATCCTAGTCTCCGTCTTACTCTTTAGTCTTTCAAATATTAAACTCTACATACTCTTTTCCAGGTATACTCAAGCAGGACTTCCCCCTATATTTTTTGCACTCTTCTCTTTTATCCTTTTTGCCTTTATCAAAAGGAACTATGCATGCTCTCTGCAATTCCCTAGGTACCTTAACCTCTTCATACATTTATTTAACTAATTGCACAACCAATCCAATACTAATATCCCCACCTGCTTTTATCTTTCTGTCTTTATCCCATCAACTCCGGCTGCCTTACCCTTTCATTATTACCTACTGCCCACGAACTTCCCCCACACTCAAAACTGGCTCTTCTCAATCACTATAAGATGTTTTCCTCCTTGTAATTACACGAAATCACAGCCTTCCCTATCCTTCATCAACATTTAAACAATTCATAAAATATTCCCTACATCTTACCAATACCTCTAACTCTCCATTTTTAATAACTGTCCTATACCTATTTTTAACTGGCCAAACCTCTTTGTTCTCTAGGCTTTCTTAATTGTTAATCTCACTCCATTAACTTTTTCTTATTTTTCAAAAAATTTGTTGATAACATCTTCACCCACTCTCTCATTTGCTTCTTTTGTCATTGCTTCAACACTCTCTTAACCTCTCTCTTTTTCTCCATATACTCTCTACTCCTCCTTGCATCACTTCTAACTCTTGTAAAAACTTCCTCATATGCTTAACTTTTTCTCCCTTACTACTTCTCTTTACTTATCATTCCACCAATCGCTCCT